CTTTTTTGTAAATAGACAAAAATTAAAATATCTCCTAAAGTAATAATTTTTTTACATAAATAGGTTAATACTTTTTTGTAAATAATATGAAAGAGCATCAGATGATGCAATACAAAATATATGATTCCATTTAAAAAAACATTAATGACCTTCATATGTCCTTGACACGTCCACCTAAAAAAAAAAAAGTACCATCAGTATGAGCCCCTTTTAAAGTCATTCAACTCCATGTGAATCATTGTCTGCTACGCGTAATAATAAAAACGTAAATCAAGGTGGTAAAATATGGTGACCCACCCTGTATATATATATATATATATATATATAAGTAAATGTCATAATATAATAGAAACTAACAAAAATATTTCTAATTTGAATGTTAATAATCAAATCATTTTTGAACAGGAAAATGTAATACATTCTGTAAGGTTTCTATGGGATCCCAAGAAGAAAGAACTAGTGTTGTTTCAGAAACAGACTGTCCTTTATGGGATACATCTATGCAGTTTCTAGTTAAGGATTTAAACGAAGATACTCTTTGTATCACAGTATTTGACAAAGGCTATTACAGTCCTGATGGTATATTTTGTATTATTTTTACAATTTATATATAAATTTGACTTTAATACACATTTATAAATTTTAATTAAATATTTGTAACATACACAGAATTCTTAGGACGTGCAGAAATTAGGGTAGCAGATATCATGAGAGACAGTAAAAATGTTCGTGGACCTATTTTACAACGATTCAAGTTACGTGAAGTTGAACAAGGTGACGTTATTTTAAAACTAGACCTTCGTTTATTCAATAATAGTAAATACAGTAATAGATAAACAATCTTTTTTTTTTTTTTTTTATTCTTTTTAAATATAATATAATATTTTTTCTTTTTTTTTATTGACAAGTACACATACAAATTTATGACAAGTTTAAAACCACTCACTGCCAGAAAGACAATCTTTTACAATAAATCGTCATTTTAGCAGAGAGATATGAGTTTTAAAATATTAATTACATAGTTTCATTCATAGATAATAAGTTTATCAGTATTTCATTATTAGTAATAGATGATATGAACAAATAATTATCGTAATATATTATATCTAATATTTTTATAATGACGATGTGATATACGAGAATTCAAAATAGTTTAATAATTTGCTATTGCAAATCGATATAATGTTAAAATGTAAAAACGTATTTTTGTAACAATATCTATCTCAACATTTTTGTATAAAATGGTTCATTTCTCTATATTATTATTAAATGTTTTTTATATAAACAAAAAATATCAACAAAAAAAAAATAATACAAAATTATTCTATCTATTTTTTGAAATCTTGTTCTTAAACTTGAAAGTTTCGTCTGTTGAATTAAACAAATGTTCAGTATTATACAAATATCATAGAATGAATGCATGCTAGATAAGGTTCATATGCGAGATACAATATATCAATATTTGAAATAAATGTACAGTTTATAAAATGTTATATAATATATATGAGATACAACTGTAAAGATTACTTTTTTTGTACTAAATGTATTAGAGACAGCATTTCATTTACACAAGAGCATTTATATATAAATATGAATAAAATGAAAATAAAGAACAACATTATTTCGAATTTTATTCGTGATATGTTATATCTATGGCTGCTGTAAAAAAGCATCGATATATTTTACAGTTATTTTATAAATAAGAGACAAAAAAAATTGAATACATAAATATAATATAACTACTACATAGATATCCTACACACTTCAGTCAACATGATACTTGTGATGATCGACAAGTACGTACATATATAAAAATATATTTTATAACATATAATTAAATAATTAAATAAATAAAAGTGTAATTATTTAATATTATTATTATTATTATTATTATTATTATTATTATTATTATTATTATCACGAGATACGATCCAATTTATCTTCGACCTTAATACACAATTGTGAAAGATCTCGTGAAAATTACAACAACATTTTATAAATGAAATGTAACATGCCGATCATTATTAGTTCTCATATAATAATTAATAAAAGAAACTTCAATGATCCTGATAAAATTAATATCATCGAAGATCTAAGACAATCCGCTAATACGTAGGTTGGAACTTAAATAGTGGCAACTATTTATACAAACGAGTTACATGTTTGCTCCTGTTACTGTCCTTTAAGGGGACACGTCAACAAAAAAATCGATTTTTTTTTCGATTTTTTGAAAGAATATTATTTCAAAAATATTTCTTCAAATTTTGGTAAAGATCCGCGCATTATTTACGAAACTGTAGTAGTTTAAACGGAGTGCGCCGTAGCGCTCCAAGTAAGTTGCCAAAACTGTAAACGTTCATTTCTCCTATTCGCGTTTTTAAAATGGTGGTCCTCGCTGCGTCCAGACCATTTATCCGATCTTTACCAAATTTTGTACAGTAATACTAGATACACATACCTAGGGGATGAACAAAAGGATTTTTCGAAAAAATGCCAATTTTTTTTTTCGTCAAAAACTCGGCGATTTTTCTGCAAAAATGTCAATTTTTTTCGCAAAAAGTCGACTATTTTGAGAAAAATTAAAAAATCACAATTTCCTTTCGTTCATTCCCTGCGCCAACATCTCTGCTAAAGGATAACACTCAGTTTTTTTGTTTATGATGAACCAATTTTTGGCAGTAAGGGCCACCGAAAATCACCTTTTTTTTGGACTCTTAGAAAAGTGGAAACAGACAACACAATTTACAATATTTTTACACACAAAAAATTGTGAATATAGTTCAGATATATAACTTACATATACCAAAAATTTGTATTGATATTAATAAAACTGGCTGCAAAAAAAATTCACAAAATAACCGCTTTTTTTTTACACTCGAAGGTGACGTGTCCCCTTAAAGTAGTCACCGACATTTTGTAGAACCCGTTGCCAACGATTTGGAAGGCTTAGTATACAGTTAACAGAGCCTGCTTTGTTGATGGTGCGAATGGAGCGGTCTACTGCCTGTCGAATCTCTGGAACAGTTCTGAAGCAAATGCCACGATGGGTTCCTCAAGAATTGACGGAAATGCAGAAATGGATGCGTTACGATGCTGCTCAGACGCACTTGGAGCGCTATGAGCGCGAATGAGAGGCTTTCTTACGCCATATCGTAACACTGGATGAGACATGGGCAGTAGACCACTCCATTCGCACCATCAATAGAACAGGCTCTGCTGACGGTATACTACGCCTTCCACATCACTGGCAACGGGTTCTACACAACGCTGGTAGCTACTTTGAAGGACAGTAACAGGTGCAAACATGTAACTCTTTTGTATAAATAGTTGTCACTATTTAAGTTCCAACCTACGTATATCTTGCATCGCTAATATATTTTTCCCCCGTAATGATCAACCGATAGATCGATAGATCCCAAACACCACAGCACAAGATTTCGGAATGCATTTGTTTTGTTTTTTTTCGAAAATAATTTCTTTTCGCGTTTCTTCGATATCTCTTTCTTATTGTTTATTCTAATCTTAAATTAAATTCTACGTCGAAAATTTAACAAATTCAGACGCAATTAAATAATTCTAATTTATAACAAAAGATATTTTTATCTCATCATAGATTTCTTACTTGGGATAAATAATTGATCTAGTCCGAAGATGAGAAACGCCAAAAGAAATACAGTGATCGAAAAAATATTTCTAACGAAAGATTGATAATTTTATGATACCCATAAATTATTCCCTATATTCCTATGGAATTTTCATCAAGCGGCAGAATCAACAGCCTCTTGCTGTATATTCTTCGATATTGAAGAATTACTGTTATTACTTTCACGTTTTTCTGTATTATCGTCATTATCTATAGGAAATTCAAAAATTGGTTTAAATCCACCGAAAAGTTGTGGTTTGAAGTTTTCAGGATCGAACTCGCTTTTTTTTGACGATTCATCATCATCTGCATCTACAACATCATCAGTCTTTTCATCGTCAGATGTCGTTTTATCTTTAGATTCTATAACAACAACATTCCAACCATTTTTAGCCGGAGCTTCGGCTCTCAGACTGGCTACAAACGGTGCCATGAAATTTTGAGGAGATGGGGCAGAACTCGAAGAACTGGAAGGTTGCTGAGAGGGCAAGAGAACTGGTCGTTGATCGTTTCTATTCATTTTCGACCCATCATCTTTAACGTCGACATCTAGACGATGATGAGATGCTTCGGCCGTAGGTGTATAAACATAAGCTATTGGTGTAGACGATGGATGATTATTGCTGCTTGGCATACGATGAAGAGTTGCCGAGATAACACCTTCATTTTTTTTTCTCGAAAACGGTACGAAATCTTGCAAATAAGGTATAACGTTTACGTGATCACTATCCTCCTTTTCTTCGTCTCTTTCGTTCAACGGGCGATTCTCGTGACGTTGATCGCTCGGAACAAGTATGGGTGTTTCTCTCACGGGTCCAGCGTATATGGAAGGATCTACTCTATCAAGAGAATAGGAAAAATCTCCTACTGGACGACCGTTGTAAAGATCGACCATTGTCGACTCCTCCTCATTGATCTTCTCTCTATCCTTATCATCTCGAAGAAGAGTTTCCGGTGGAAGAGGACGATGTGGTCCTCTAGTTCCCACTACCACACTCTCGTCTTTATCTCCAGAATCATCAGGATCTATATTAACCGCAGTATTCACAGGGTATACTACGTAAACCGGTGGCTCGGCTACTGAATCGCGAACATCTTTTCTATGTTCTATTTCTTGACCTATCGTAATCTTAACCTCTTGATCTGGATCATTATTACTGGAAGTTGCTAAACCTGTTGCCTCTTCGTCTTCTTCGAGCTCTCCTCGTTGTTGGATCATTTGTAAGGTGGTAACCCGTGGTGGATCTGCCGTTCTACGCCGCGGAAACAAAGGTGGCCTTGGTGGCGTTTGAGGCGGTTCCTCTGAATACCGCTCGGACGTCTCCTCATCCTCCAATCGCAATTTCTGCTTTTGACCTGGCAACCGATTCGGCTGATTTGTACTCTCGTCATTCTCTCCTCTGGAAGTTGGTTGTACTGCCGACGGATAACGAAATCTCTTGACCATTGGCGGCTCACTTTCCTGAACAGGGGCAACATTTTCTGCTATTGTAGAGGATGATCCAGCAAGTCTGATTGTATGAATTGGTGGTGGGGGTGGATTCAATCTTTGAAGATATGATGGCGCAGGTGGTAAAGGTCTTCTCGATGGAGGATGAACGTGAGGCGTTTGTCTAACCCTATTAAGATATGGTTGCGGTGCTGGTATTGTACCTATGTTTTCTGTATTACGATGACCATGTGAGACTTTAGCATTTGGCCTAAATTGTGGCAATATGTTAGGTAATTTTGTATCAGAAGGATATGGTCTTCTTCGGATTGCTAAGGTGTCAGGTACAGGTGGTGGAAGGGGAGGAGGAGGAAATGGTTTTCCACGTGCGGGAGGTAAAGGAAGTCTTTGAGGTGGTCTTGGGTATTCGGGTCTTATAGTTCCACCATGCTGATAATGGAAATAATAAGATGGAGGTGGCCTTGGTCTTTCGGCAGGTGGTGTAAGATTTTCAGAAAGTTGAGGAAGATGATCGTCTATTGTTGAAACAGAATCTGGCTTATTGTTAATTTTTGAGGGTAATATCGTCGTTGAAGGTGGGAATTCTTGAACTGTACCATCAGCTTCATTAATAATGACAATATGTTCTTCAACCGGATGCTTTTCTTCCTCTGGTTTAGGGAAAGCTACGCGATTAGTATCTTTTTCCTCATTTCGAACATCTTTCTGTTCCATGAGAACAGTACCTCGAACGATAGAGGGTTGTACTTTTGATGACTCGATTTCGTTGTTATTTTTCAAAGGTGGTCCAGAATTCGATGGCCACCGTTTTTGTGAATTATATCCAAAATTAGGTTCAACGGCTACAGATGGAAGAGCTACAGTTCTTTGTGGATCAGTCTCAAGCTCATAACCATCTTGATCAGTTGACACTTCACCGTATAATGGTCTAAACGATGCTTCTGCCCCTGTCAAACCTCCGTAAGGATTCTCACCAATTGCTGTACCAGGTGAATAGTAACCTCCACCCTCCACATTTTGCCTATTTCCAAGTACAAAAGACACCGTATCCTGATCTGGTGGAACAACAATGTTACTCGTACTTCCTACAAGAATTTGTCCACCCATTCCAAGTGGTCGTTGATTAATAATCTGATGTCCTCCCACATTGGAAATCATACCATCAAACATTCCAGGTCTTCGATTATCGACAACATTCTCAAAGGTTGGAATTTCACGATCATCGGAATCGATAGACATTGAAGTTACTGGATGTGGGACAACTTGGAATTGTAATGGATGGGTAGATACGATGTTGTTCGATGGTGATGATGGAACAGGAGTGGAAAATGATATAGTCGGTCTCATTGTAGTACTTTCAGGTGTATTAGTGGTTGATTGAATAGTTGATGGTGTTGTACTCGGTGGAGCTGACATTGTAGTTGAACTTATTGGTTCCTTAGATACTTCTTTATCAAACGAATAATCCTGTTCTTCGTTTGATTCTTCGTGCATGTCATAATCATCATACATATCATACTCTTCTTTTTTCGGTGGTAATTGTACCACAGAAGGTTCTCTGTGAGAAGATCCTGCAAGATTGTTTGGACTTTGATGATCGAAGTTTATTGTTTCTTGAAATGTCTTCATAGGAACGTTAAATGAAGAAAGAATATCTTCATAATTATTACTGTTATCTGCTGTATATCGTACGGTACTTGTGCTAGATGGTTTCCAAGTGGTAACAGGTGGTGCTTTTGTTGTAGTAGACGTTGTTGTCGAAGGCGTAGTAGTCGTTGTTGTTGTGGTAGTAGTTGTTGGTACTGTCGTAGACGTCGTTGATGGACGTAACGTAGTTGGTTTCATGGTGGTAGTAGAGGTGGTAGTCGTCGTCGTTGTTGTTGTTGTTGTTGAAGTACTTATTTTTGGGACATGTGTTTTTTTAACAGGATAATATAAAGTAGTTTCTCTATGATAAGGCCTATGATTATATGTGCTATAACTATTCAAACCACTTTGAACTTTCGTGTTCGCGTACGAACTCGAGATCAGTGGATATTTATCATTGGTGTACTTATCGGAGGAATAACGAACGGGAAGATTGAGAAAGTCATGAAAACTCGGTGAATTTGGATTAATCTCATTCGGACTAACATCTTCGGGATCTTTATTCTCAATTTTCTTCATTTCCTTCGTGTGCAAATCAGCATCCTCTTTCAGTGCCTCTTCACTTGTTTCCTTATCCTCATCATTATCGTCACTTTCCTCGTAACGATCAGTGTAATTTAAGATTCTCACCGCTGGTGCTTTCTCGTAGTCGATTTTTCCAGTAATAGGATCTTTTTCTAAGGAAAAAGGTCTTCCACCATTGAAAGCGAAGGAAAATGGTGGCCCATATCGTGGACCTTCATCGTCCTTGGCTAAAGAGAAAGAACCGACGGTGCTTTCTTCGGCATCGAGATCTAGGTCAAGGGCGTCCAGTAGAGACGATCTTCCTAAAGATATGTACTCGTGCTCGTTCGTCTGAGTTTTCGTTTTCGGATCATTGTTGTCCAGGTGACCACCCATCAAATACTCACTAACCACTTCATTAATACTGGCTAGTGTGACTAATGACATCAACAGGATGGCTCGCATCTTTTTCGTTGATTTCTGAAACGATTTGACGGAAATAATAATTAATCAATTTACTAGACATTTTTTCTCTATTCTATCTCTATTTAATAAAACGGAAACTATTTAATCGTAAACTATTATTAAGTTATCAGAAGGATGTTATATACTAAAGGTCTAATCTCACCTCACTTAAATTCTTTTTACTTCTTTTATCCTTCCCAATCAGTGGATTCTTTAAATAAAAACGTAGGAAAAGTAAGAAGGAAGGTCTAACCGTCCTTCATGACCTACATTTACAGCCTATCAGACGTGGACGTATGTATGTAGATCTTCTGTTCGTTTTATAGTACACACGTATGCATATTCCGGATTTAACGTGACATTTAATTATATTACTGTAAAAACATATCACCGTTGCTTCGTATGATATATCATCGGATGTTATAATAAATATGAATAAAATGTTAACTACGGTTAATACATACACAGGGATGGATGAAAAGAGATAACAAATGAACAGCCCAATAAGAAATACAAAAAATAATACAATTTTAAAAGGAACGATAATTTGAATAGGAATTTTTGAAGTGAAAACTTCTTTAGAATCAGGGTAATTTGAAAATCGTGAAACGGAAGAACGTGAAACCGATGAAACAAAAATAATTAATTAATTAATCAAATTCAATATATAATTTAATGCTACATTTAATTACATTACAATTCTATATATTAATTAATTAATTAATTAAATTCTATATATAAAAATTCAGTGTCACAATATGTTTGTCCACTAATAATTCCGAAACTACTCAACTTATCTTAATGAAATTGATTTTATTTCACGTGATTTTTTCCAACTTAGCACATAGCACAAGTTTTATTTAGAGGTTATCTAGGTTCTGTAAGGTTCTTTCAATAAATGGCGCTGTATTACAATTCAATTATTTTGAAGCTTGGTTTTCTTTGAAGGTTTCACTTCTACCGTGTGTGATCTGCACACATCTGTTCTTTTATATTATTTTTTATTACTAATTTAAAGATTTTTATTTAGAGGTTATTTAGGTTCTGTAAAGCTCTTTCAATAGATGGTACTGTATTACAATTCAATTATTTTGAAGCTTGGTTTTCTTTGAAAGTTTCACTTCTACCGTGTGTGATCTACAAACATCTGTTCTTTTTCTATTCAAAAAATATTTTTAAATCTCATACTTAAATTGCACTGCTTGCAATATAACTGCAAGCCAAGTGCACTATCATCAGTTGATAGAAAATAAAAATAAAAGCAACGAGTAAACGAGCATCCGTTCGTCTCACGTCGAACGGAATCGCGTTCCAACGGCTAACGGGTTTCATATTCTTTTCCCGTTCTTCTTTCTTCTCTTTCATTGCTCTCGCACGACATTCTACTAGGTTTTGTTGAGACTACAACATACACCAGTTAATACTAGCTAGCTTCGGGCACCGTATTTGGCATTAGCATTTCGTTACTCGCACTTTCGAGCGGGCTTTCGATACCAGAAATGAAACATCCGAAAGGAATACTATTTTATGATTTATTTAACATACCTTTTGTGTGAATTATATTATAAAAATTTTTTTTCAATTTTATCATTTTGTTGATCGTTTAATTTTTAATTTGCCAAATTTTCTTTGTAATATAAATATAAATAYATTATAATTTTACATATTTATAATAGAATGGCTCTGTGGTGCGGTGCTAGAGTCACCGATTCGCAACCCTAAGATCGTAGGATCGAATCCCTTGGAATCACGAAAAAAAAAATATATTTCTAATTTTATTATATATATTATATTTATATTTTATTATATATTAATTTAATTTATAATTTATAATATATATATGATATAAATATAATATATAAAAAATAGGGATTTCCAATATATAATTCTGTAATAGAAAAAAAAATTAAGTAAACTTTATATTAAGTTTATAAATTTATGTGAATTTTCTTCCAAATATCACACTTTAATTTATCATATTCGGTTAAAAGGATATTATTAATAATTACTACATAACTACATACTGCTACTTAACATAACCATCCATAAATCCGTATCTACGAATCGATATCGTTCGTTCTCATTATTTTAATGACGACGATTTCCGGTATGACCGCGAGAAAAATGAGAGCGTTGACCGTAAAAGATAGAAGACGCGGGTCGACGAACGGGTATTTATGTGGGCGGTAGAGAAAGACATGAAATTGATTTCGATGAGCTTTAAAAAAAACGTCCAAGGTCTTTTTCGGTTCTGGACCATGATCCTGACCGTGACCTTATCTTATGACCATAACATAACTTCGGTTGACCTACTTACTCTCAAAAGTTTCGACTGTTCGTTCTTGAATGCGGTTTTGAGTACGATGACATGAATCATCGACACATCCGTTCAACCTTATCAACGCGTACTAAATAGATATTTCTACGTATGCACGAATCATACGTTCTACTTTCTAATTAATTTCGTATCACCTCTATATGAATTTGTTATCAATTTTTGTTAAATTTTTATATTACTAATATTAATCTGCACAAGATTTAGAAACTAATTTCACAGATTATTTTAATTTAATAATAAAATATATAAATGATTTTGAGATTTATCCAACCATTATCCCAGATAAAATGAGTTTATTCTAACCACTTACCCTTTCTTACAAAAGTACCGAATGCCAACTTTATTTATGAACTTTAACTTGCAGATGAATAATAAGAGAATCTTCCTATTCCAATCTTGTCACGTTTATTTATTAATATGATTAATATTATTAAATATAGATCTGCAAAATTTGTACAATATTGCATAAGTTATTTATTATATTTACCTGATAAATCAAAGAACGAAGAGAAGGTGAATGCTCTTAGATCACCAACAAGGTCGAACCGGTCGATTACTCACACTCCTTTCGTGGATCCATAAGTGAAGAAGCTAACACGTGCGCTTGATTCTTGTACAAATCCCAGTTGACCGATGTTGCTGTATTCTTTGATATATTACGTGAAAGAGAAAAAGAGGAAACTCGGTGGATGATCGATCGAGATCTCGAGGGACTAGTCCCTCTTCCTCTTTAGACGCAAAAGCGAGAGCCAACCGCCCTGGAAAGATGCGCGGCACTCACCTTTAAGGATCAAACACTCGTAGTTCACGGAAACTCTCTCTCTACGGTCTGCGAGAAGGTCACGCGTCGACTGAAGAAGATGGACATTGTGATGGTAGCACGAAGACGACGAGGTAGAGGCCACCGATGGTAGTAGCATAAGGACGAAACTGTGTAAGAGAAGGAGGTGGAGGAGAAGGAAGAACAGGAAAAAGAGGTGGAAGAGGTAAAGGTGTCCGAAGAAAGCGACGTTCCTTGCGATGACGTTCATAAAGGGAAGAACCTTGTAATGCGAATGAGTTTTTCGTTTATGATTCAATCATTGATTTGATTAATTTATTTAACACGTTCATCGCCATGTCTCCGTATAGAGGAGACGCTCTTCTTGTCTAAGTTATGGGATTTTTAGTTGGATTTTTAAAAGAAATTTCATGGAATTAGTACTTACATCTAAATATGGGTTGTACAACATAAAAATACTACAAATATACACATTATACTATACTTTCTATTCATTTATATAGGATAACATATTACATTATACTATACCGCATGGTTCTTGTTAAAACACTCTAAACACATTTGAGGTGATTATTTTCGATAAATAAAATATAATAATATAATATAACAATAATACTCGGGTCGCATTGTTGATATTTCTACATTTCGCTTCTTTACGTTACGGCGCGCCGAGAGTCGAATTTTGGGCCTGGCGAGAAACTCAACCGAAACGAGCTGGGTGACGAACGTGTTTAATATCGGTATGTGTATCTTCAATTCTAGCATTTGCGCATTCTGATAGATCCCAATATAATCATGTAGATTTGTTTGAAAATCTATTTATTAGAGAGTATTATTATACCTTGTCATTGTATTCCATTTGAATTATTTTTGAAGAATCTTTTTAAGAATCTTTTGAATGATCAATACTTCTTTTAATTAATTACAAATGAATAAAATATGATTTAATATAAAATCGACGATTGCATCAGATATTGAATATTGAAAAGAAACTTATTTTAATAATCGTTAATAAACACATATTTTTTTGTATATAAAATGAACAATTACATTGGAAAATAAAATGTAATAATGAATGTTTTATTAATTTTAATTCCATAAAGATTATCATCGACATTATCATCCACAACTTTTCCTCTTCGTAGAAAAATATCGTAAGCAGAGAGGAAGAGTTGAAAGAGCCAAGTTGGACCAAACTTATGGACGTGTATGGACTCGACAGAACGGTACGCGGAACAGTTAGACGACGACCTACATTACAGGAACAGCTCAGGGCCGAACAACGTGCTAGTTTCCTCAACCTTACCCTCTCTACATCAAATTCGAAAAATATATTCATATAATCTTTAGTCCTTTTATTTTTACAATATATCATCTTATGGATATTTAAAATCCTAATCAAATCAGACAATTGTTAAATAACATCATCTTTAACGAAAATTAATATTGCGTTGATTTTTAAAATCAATCACAATAAATTCTTCAATCAATAACACAAAAAGCAGAGCAAGTAGTTATCTCTTAAATTCTTGAATTACATATTGACAAATTTTTCTTTATTTTTCATGTTTCGTATTCGATATCGAAATATGTGTTACGCCTGAATGCAGGCAACACTCTTCACAAATTGCCTATCACAGGAGCTCAAACAACTGTGATTATCGTCGACAGATGATTCGACGTTCCATTTTGATTGCTAGAATTTGGAAAGTGGTCATTTTTGTCAGCTAGTCCCACCCCAAAATCATATCAGTGTCCTTTGGTATACATGGTAACAATATTATAATAAATAAACCCAACAATTATCTTACTCCTGTTACTCTGGATTCGTGTCATTCTCTCGAAGCGAAGGTTTTAATTTCATTTTCTATCAAAAATAGAAATGAAAATCAAACTGTTTGAAATACAAGTTCAATTTAGCTTTCAATTTTTTCAACATTTAAAAATAAAATATTTCTATAACAAATATAATAAATGAAAATATACATATACATTAAGGGTGCCCCGGCCACGCGTTGCTGTGGCTTTTTTGACGTGAAAACTTCTTTAGAATCAGATTGATACGTTCATTTAATATCATTTTAAACTGTTCAATGAAGTTTAATTATTATTCACTTAAACTTATTTTAATAAAAGTTGACAAAGTTGAAACAAAAATTTAATTTATCGTAATGCCATTGGATGTACAATATTTTTGGTTGATCCTTCAGAAGTATACACAAACAAATTCGTTGGTTTTCCAACCCTGGAACACGCAACATATAATTGGCCGTGAGAAAAGCACGGATTTTCTAAATCTTGACAACAGTGTCAATTGAGTAACTTCTTCAAACACTAATTAGATCATAATGTAATATTTCAATTAGCACAAGATTTTTTGTAACACAATAATAACACGAAGAAAACGATAAGAGAAATATATCGAATATATCGAAAAGTATAATATCAACAAAAAATATCGACTAACTTCAATCTATAAACTTTAAAATCGGTCCAGCCGTCTAGGAGGAGTTCATGACATATAAAGAATTTAATTTTTTACGCACGTGTAAATTTAATAGAAAATTATATAAAATACTTACTTCAATTCCGCATTAAATCTGCAAAATGTATAGTTTTTTGTGTACACTTCAAAGCTCTTCAAACACTAATTAGATCTTAATGTAATATTTTAATTAGCACACGATTTACAAAGTGGAATCGAATAACTTCGATTAGATTCGAATATTCTCTATAACTTGAATATCGACTAATTTCCACCTATAAACTTTTCGCATAACAATTTATAAATAAAAAATTAATTAATTAAACAATTTTAACTGGATCGAATTGTCACGCTAAACCATTATCGAATCCACCTGAAGACACACAATAAATTGCATTAAAATCGGTCAAGCCGTTTAGGAGGAGTTCAATTACAAAAACGTGCACAGAAGAAATATATATATATAAAGATTTCGCATTTTTATAAAATAATATTTAAATGAATATTAAGTTTTAAAATAATTCTTTCACAAGCTACTTATAAAAAGTGTTAATACATTTTATCATTAATTCTGATTAATAATTTCGAAATACGATATTGGTATGAAACAATGAATAATTAAGATTCTATAGAATTTCCATAGGGAATGATTTAATATTGTTTTGATCGTATTAAGATATACCACTTTTATAGATATCCCAGATAAAACCAGTAATCAAATCAAAGAAAAAAACGAAATAAAACTAGGGGTGCCCCGGCCACGCGTTGCTGTGGCTTTTTTGACGTGAAAACTTCTTTAGAATCAGATTGATACGTTCATTTAATATCATTTTAAACTGTTCAATGAAGTTTAATTATTATTCACTTAAACTTATTTTAATAAAAGTTAAAAAAGTTGAAACAAAAATTTAATTTATCGTAATGCCATTGGATGTACAATATTTTTGGTTGATCCTTCAGGAGTATACACAAACAAATTCAATGGTTTTTCAACCCTGGAACACGCAACATATAATTGGCCGTGAGAAAAGCACGGATTTTCTAAATCTTGACAACAGTGTCAATTGAGTAACTTCTTCAAACACTAATTAGATCATAATGTAATGTTTCAATTAGCACACGATTTTTTGTAACACAATAATAACACGAAGAAAACGATAAGAGAAATAAATCGAATATATCGAAAAGTATAATATCAATAAAAAATATCGACTAACTTCAACCTATAAACTTTTAAAATCGGTCCAGCCGTCTAGGAGGAGTTCATGACATATAAAGAATTTAATTTTTTACGCAAGTGTAAATTTAATAGAAAATTATATAAAATACTTACTTCAATTCCGCATTAAATTTGCAAAATGTATAGTACATTTTTTGTATAGTACAATTTTTATGTACACTTCAAAACTCTTCAAACACTAATTAGATCTTAATGTAATATTTTAATTAGCACACGATTTACAAACTGGAATCGAATAACTTCGATTAGACTCGAGTATTCTCTATAATTCGAATATCGACTAACTTCAACCTATAAACTTTTCGCATAACAATTTATAAATAAAAAATTAATTAAATAAACAACTTAAATTGGATCGAATTGTAACGCTAAACCATTATCGAATCCACCTGAAGACACACAATAAATTTCATTAAAATCGGTCAAACCGTTTAGGAGGAGTTTAATTACAAAAACGTGCACAGAAGAAATATATACATAAAAATATATTTTATTTTAAATTAATCAAATAAACCGAAACATGGAAAATCATCCTCGTCGCTGTCGCTGAAATATTCATTTTGTTCAGTTGTTTTGGATATGTCTTTTTTTATTTCCGATTTAACCAAAAATAGTTTTGAAAATTGTGCAACAATATTGTCATATTGATTAAATTGTAAAATATCCTTCAATGTATGCATTTGCCGATTACGAAGTTTTTTCATTGCGTAACCATCGTCGTTATTTAAATGTTGTAATTTATCTATAATTTCAGTTCTTCCATAATTTGCATCTTCAAATAATTCATGTATAAATTTGAAATAATTAATGATGTCTTGATCAGTAGATAAGTCAATCGGCATTTGACCATCTTCATTTTTTGCATTATAAATTGCACCATAGCTCAAAAGAAGTTGTACAATTTTCATAGAATTGTGTTGTGCAGCCAGATGCAATGCAGTCATGCCATTTACTGTTTCTATATTGACAATATCATGTGATTTTGTAGCTTTCTCTAGCACAGTTTTGATTATATACTCATAACCCTTAACAGCAGCAAAATGTAACAGTGTATCTCTTGTATCATTAATTACCAAAAAATCAGCATTACTATTTAATAGCAGCTTTACAATATTGATATGATCATAATAAATAGCAACATGTAAAGGTGTATTGCCATTATTCTGTCTAGCATTGATAATTTCTTTTTTTATTCGTATACATTCAGCAACTTTAGTCTCATCTCCTAATTTGATATATTCAAACAATTGTTCTGTTAATTCAAGTATATTTTTAATTTCTAAATTATCAGTAAGTAGTATTGGTTTATTAGAAAAGCCATCATTATATATTGCTCCATTGTTCAATAAATATTTAACAATCTTCTCATTTCCTTCTTTTGCAGCATAATGTAAAGGCATCCATTGATTTTTATCTCGAGCATTTACCAAATGATATTTCGTAATACAATTAATTATATTAGTCCTGTATTTTAACGTTTTAAACAAATTTTCCACCATACGTTCATTATTTTCCATCACCATGGAATGTAATATACTTCTTTTAAAATCATTTAATGTAATATTATAGCATCGTGTTCTATGTATAAGTAAAGATTCAATATTTTTCCAAGGTTTATTTTCTTTTACAGCATCAAACATTTTTTCTATATTAGCAATCAGAGGTGGTAACATGTAACCAAAATCTACTGGCATTTTATTTTCAATATTAGTAGCAGAAATATTTGCACCATTTGCAAGCAATACAACCGTTGCAAATTCGTTATTTTCTTCAGCACTGAAATGCAATGGTGTATTACCATATATGTCAGTAGCGTTAACATGTATACCTTTCTTTAGAAAAAAATTTATCAAATTTGACATGTCTTCAAAACTTATATCGAAACATGAATATGCTTTAGTAATACTATGTAATACAGTTTCTCCATCTTTTGTAACGGCTTTAATATTAGCACCATGTTCTATCAAATGTCTCGCTATAATTACATTTTTAGCAAAGTGCAATGGTGTATACCCGTCTTTATTAGAAATATTAACATCTGCACCTTTCTCTATTAAATATTTCACTATAGGAAAATTCGAATTTCTATGTAAAGGTGTTTCTCCATCATCATTTTTGGCATGAATGTCAGCACCATTTTCCACAAGGCATTTTACTACAGAAATTTTATAAACACTATGTAATGGTGTACAGCCATACCTATCCTTAATATTTACATTGGCTCCCTTATCTATTAAAAGTTTTGCTACAGATACATCGTGTGTTAAATGCAATGGTGCTTTGAAATCATCATGGCTATCTATAATGCCATTAACATCTGTACCTAGTTCTATTAATAAAGTTTGTAATTGTATGTTACGCGTATAGATAGCCCAATATAAAGGACTACCACCACCTGTATTCTTAAGATATGCACCATTTTCTACCAAAAATTTAATCATTTCTGGAGTCCCAGTGTGTTTTACTAATAAACAAAGTGGTGTTCTACCATCATGTTCTGTAGCATTTATATTTGCTCCATTTTTTATTAGGAATTTAATTGCTTCATCTCCATCATAATTTCGACAAGCCCAATGTAAAAGTGTACCTCCTAATCTCTGTCGAGCATAATGGGTATTTATGTAAATTCTGTTGACATCAGCACCTCCTTTTTCTATTAAAAGTTTAGCTACTTCAAAATTTTTATTATAGAGTGCATTTTGTAATGGAGTATAACCAAATACATTTTCAACATCAATTTCTGCACCATTATCAATGAGAAATTGTACAATTTCCAGGTTCGGATTGGATGAATTTCCTATGGCAAAATGTAATGCTGTACTATTTCTAGAACTGCGTGCGTTTACGTTAATACCCATATTACATAAAAATTTAACAATTTCTAATTGTCCTTGTTCGGCTGCCATAATTAAAAGTGTATGACCGTCCCCTGTTTGGAAATTAATATCAATTTCTTTAATAACACACTGTAGCAATTCCAACATGCCTTTCTTGATAAGATAACGTAGAATACTATCTTCATTATTATTATGAAATTTAATAGTGGCACCCTTTTCCACTAATAATTTAACTATATCTTCGTTACTTTCTGCCATTGCATATTCTACAAGTTTCTTATTATGAACTTCAATATCAACATCAGCACCCTTATCTATAAGTTCTTCTATGATCTCTTTAGATTCCTTCATTACAGCCATTTGCAAAGGAAACATACCAGTACGATCACAAGCATTGACATTAGCTCCTTCGGAAATCAAATCTATAACTTTCTTTAAATCTTTCCTTTCAATAGCATTACATAAATTATCTGATAGATTATCATCCATTTTGTCTATATAGAAGATGTGACTGATACTTTGAAATTGTATTATAAGTAATCTGTAATAAAATAATATTTAAAATTAATTAATTGGATATATTTATAACAAATATGTAATGTAAACGAAAGATTCATGAATTCTTTAAATTGTATCAAAATATATTTGCACAAATATAATAAAAAATATAATATATAAAATATAATTGTGTATAAAGAGATATACATGCTATATATACATGCTATAATTACTGTTTACATACACACTGCCCCCCCTTTCTCTAATTCATTTAAAACAAAAGTTTAAAACTAGTTAAAATTCAAAATAGTGATCTCTAATGCACACATGACAGAGGATGTCAAAATTGCTTTACATATTGCAATTGAAATTTAAAGTTATCTAAACTGACACATGACGTCATCCAATTATTTCACATATTGTGTAATCATTGATAATATTTTTAAAGATTAAAAAACAACATCTAAGGTATATATTAAACTATATTTGTTTAATTTAATGTTTATTATTTAATATATTAATATCTTATATACAGTACAATCTCACTAATCCGGCACTATTAAATACCAAAGGGTGCTCTGGATTAGTTAGTCCAGTCAAAAAGACCGTGAAATCGGGATTTTGGTCTATACGGATGAAAATATATGGAAATAATAAAAAAAATGCGTACAAAACTGTGGGCAAAGTAAAAAAGTTCTCAACTCCCGGGAAGGGGGTGAAAACAATTAAAAACTACCCCGAAATACGATTTTTGGATTATATTTTGAAAATATCAAAAAAAGTTTCAAATAAAAGTTGTAGAGCATAAAATTCTAGGCCTATCTCTTTCGGACCATTTTTCCCCTAAAACGCACCCTTTCACCCCTACGACGGTTCAGAGTACTAAAAAAATGAAAATTCAATAAAAAATATAAAAATTGGACTTTAAAAATTTTTTTTTTTTAATTATCTTGAAAAAATTACAAAGAACAATCGTAGGGAAAAAAATTTTTTTTTGTTCATCCCTTCTATTAAAAATCAAGGGGTGAAAACGGTTTTTGCTCGATATTTCACTTAAAACGGGTTATTTAAAAAAATTTCTCTTTTTCATATGAATTTTTAATTTATTTTTTAAATTTTGGTGTTTGATTTATATTTACAGATATTTACCTGCAGGAAATATCCCTATTTAAAGACAGGTAATGTATACATTAGTCCTACACCTTTGTAGAAAGAAACAGAAAATGAAGCTATTTCGCTCTTACTCATTGTGACGTAGGTCACCATGGCACACATGCACTAACTCTTAGCTTACATACGTGCAAGAGAGATAGACAATCTATAGTTTGCTTCGTCTCAATGAAAACCGTATAACGCGACAAAACACTTTTTCTTATAACTCGAGAGTCTCGCGTGCATCTGTGACAGCATGATAGATTTTTGAAAATATCTCAAAAAGTAAGCGAGATAAAGCGATTTTTTATTAATTATGTTTTGTAGACAATTTTATTTGCTACAAAAAAGGTCTAGTACTAAAATATTTTATCTCTCTTACTTTTCGAGATATATTAAAAAAATGAAAAAACAATTCCCACCTTTTCTTACATTTTTGAAAATATCTCAAAAAGTAAGCAAGATAAAGCGATTTTTTATTAATTATATTTTGTAGACAATTTTATTTGCTACAAAAAAGGTCTAGTACTAAAATATTTTATCTCTCTTACTTTTCGAGATATATTAAAAAAATATGATTACTCTCTTACCTGATACTTTTTATTAAGTTTCACCACTGACAAGGACAGCCCAAGGTCTTGCCCTCTCGGATTTTATTCAAATTTTGCAGGATGATAGATTTTGCTTCCCTTTTTATGAATATATATAGTTATAGGGGCCACTACTCAATAATTTTTGAGATATTTACAATTAAAAATGCTTATGATGCTATCTAGTGTTTAAATTTAGTTTTGAAGTAAGCAACGGCATGTAATAGGTTTAATGTAATGACAACCATTTGGCGATTCGTTCCAATAGAGGCCGAGTCTTTTAGGGTTCGAATATTGGGAGGTAAATTTTTTTTTGAAGTGAAAACTTCTTTAGAATGGAAGTGATCTGAAAAGTAAATAAACGCGGTCTGTCAGGAAACGGAGCTATGAAACGGAGTTATGAAACGGCTGCTATACTAAATAGTGAGAGAAAAAGAGACAAACATATAGGATTGAACCAGCGAGAGAATGAGACGGAATATAGCTAAACATTTTTTTTTATTCTCGTTCTCCACCTTATGCCATGCTTCGTAGTTATCACTCCTGGTTGTATATGTGTGTGTTTGTGTGCGACTGCATAATACAAAGTATAAGGTCCAAACCAACCGACGGTCGAAATAAAGAAAGAAGGTGCGTGGTCTGTTTTTATTTTACCAGACGTGTCATTTATATTCTATTTAAAAATGTTTCTATTTTATTGAAAAATTAATATTAAATTATTTATTTCGCAAATATTATAGTAATTAACAATTATGAAATATATAGAATATAATAATTGTATTGTCTGCAATATTTTACAAAAAAAAAATAATAATCAGATAAATCAAAAAAAAATATTAGACAATATTTTAAAATATTTTTCTTATAAATATCCAAAGACATGATCTTAAATTATAATGTTTGCGTATTTAGGAAATTTATACTAATTTTTCAATAAAATAGAAAAGTTTTTAAAAAAAGGAACTCGTATACGAGACTCTTTTACGAGGCCTAATTAAAAATACCCTACGGTCTTTTCGGTAATACCCTACGGACTTATCGGAAATACCCTGCGGACTTATCGGAAATACCCTACGGACTTATCGGAAATACCCT